CGGGCAGCGCAAAAAGCAGAGAGAACTCTGCTGATCCCTTTGCTGGACAGGAGCATAGCGCCCTGCAGCGCAGCAAGGCCCCGGCAGCAGGGACGAGCACGCTTACGCGGAGGCGTTCTGGCCAAAGTCTTTGTTGAGGCAGGAGATGTCAAGGATGTGAAGGGACGTCAAGGTGTAGCCTGGAGGCCAAAATCGATTCAACCTAGTTTTGTTCATGTGGTACTTGGCGAGAGCTAATTTATCCGGGTCATGTCTCTTATGTTATCCGACTGAAAGGGAATCTAGCCGAGAGGGCATGTTGAGAAACCAGGAGACACAGACAGTTGACAGCGCTGTGCTTCGGGCGGTTTGGCGCACGTCGCATGGACTTTGAGGCGATGTGGGAATTGGGATGAGAGGCAGTTTGGTAAGATTGGGATCCAACTGAAACTTTAGTGTCGCAATGGGAAACTGCCTTGAAACTGCCTGGAACGTGGGAATTGGGATATGAGAGTTTCAAGTTCCACGGCTTGGGGCTTGAAGGCGGCCTTCTAGATGCCCCGCGGATCCGAACTCTCCGTTGCCTTATGCAGTGGCCCCTTGGCAGACAGTTCTGGATTTGAGTGCTGAAACCAGCTTCCTTTGCGACATCTCATGCCAGCGGTTGACCCTTTGATTCCCAACCCTCGGCGATTTTCGGCAGCAACTCTTGTGGATTTTTGGCTCTCGGTCTGCATCTGAACCTTTCTACGGGTCAGACGGTGTTTTGGCATGCTCCTTTTGCTCCATGCACTGCACATGGGCCATTGACTCAGTTACTTCAAAATGTTTCATGTCTGTGCGCTTAGGCTGCTGTTGCTGTGCGTGTGATTCTTTTTGGGGGCATTTGCGACTTTTGGGCTGCATGCGTGTTTGTAATTGCTGTTGCTGTATGCAACTTGTAGTGGTGCTCCCTACCTCGACACTGTTCCCTCAGTCTTGCCCAAGACTTTGTTGCCAGACCGTGTTGCTGAGGCTAAATGATACTGATTGAGGCAAACCGAGGCTGGGCTGATGGATGACGCGTGTGATTCTGGCAATGCTAACTATGATGGAGGTTGGCGATGCTGGCATTGATGGTGATACTGGCGACTGATGCTGGTGCTAGCGTACAGCACTCCGAAAGGAATTGCTAGTTCAACAGCAAGCTTTAGAACCACAATCACCTGCATCGCAAACATCCCAACATTACTCCAGGCAACAAACGCCGCAGTACTAACACGCTAGAGGTTTGCCATCATCGTCACCAGCATGACTAGCATCACTCTCATCAACCACTGTCAACATCCCCAACATCAGCCACATCACCAGCAATACATGATTGGCAGAAGCTTGCAGAAGACCCGTCTTGTGTTTCATGTGTTACGTGCTGCTTGGGAGAAATTGAGGGGGTGATTGGCAGAAGCTTGAGATTTTTGACAGCCATCTCGATGCAACTGGCTCGCCCACTGTTTGGTTTTGCAAGATACACCCAACTGCGGATTCCACCTTAAGGCTTGATTGATTGCGAGTTGTCGGGGCAACAAATACGACACATTCCGGCCTCGCAGCTGGAAAGAGAGAGAGAGGGAGAGAGGGAGACAGAGCAGAGTAGCAAGAGAAAGAGACAAAGAAAGAGGAAGAGGAAGAGAAAGAGAAACAGAAACACGGAAAGACAGAAAAAGAGCGAGAGGGAGAGAGAGAGAGAGAGAGAGAGAGAGAGAGAGAGAGAGAGAGCAGGAGGGTAGACAAAAATGGGGTTACTGAGGTACTGAGGAGTCTTGTTGCTGCATTTTGTGCTGACCCAAGTTTTGCTCACTGTTAGTATGGCCGTCTGGAAGCATCCAATCAATTTGGTTGACGTCGGGATACCAGTTCCAACACGTTGCAAGGGCTGTTGCCCCGCAACGCTCATTCTGGCAAAGCGACACATACGTCCCTTCACACCTCTTAAGCCCGGTGTCAAATTAATCCTGAAGCAAGGCCCACATGATACAGCAGAATACAGCAGCCATGGAAATGTTGGCATTCCCGAATAGTCCCTTCGGAGTGTTGGTTTGAGGGTGTATAGATTGGCCCTTAGATCAGTGATCACTGATCACTGTCAAAGGTTTCTTTTGAATGGGTGAAACCCCTCAGTATGGCCGCTAACCAGAGGATTCAACATCAAAGCGGGCTGAGTGCCCTTGAGGCATTTTGCGGGGCTTCCAGCGACAGCGACTCCGGTGCGCTGACCCGGATCCCAGGCGGTGACAGCCACGCGAGACGTGCGTGTGGGAGATGTGCTTTTGCTGCTATTGAGTCTGATGGTTCAGCCGGCGATCTGGACGGCGAAGCCAGCCTGATGCGAGATCTCAGACCGGCGCCTTTACAGGCCTTCCCTGAGCGGACTGAGCGGCTGTGTGTCTGGGAGGGGTGCTGCGGACTGGGAAGAAGGGCTTGATTCTTCCTTTTTTGTTTTGTTTTGCAATGCTTCATGCGGGCACAGCGCATGTAGTAGCGGGCCATGGATGCTTGGCATTTGCCGCGGCCCGTTCAACTGGATCCACAAGCTGGGGAGTGTCGCCCACGGAAGTGTCGCCCGAAGTTTGGCTCGCAGCCCTGCCGTCGGGTCGGGCCGACACGCCTCTTTCCAAGACACCTTATGCAATGATGGCCCCTCGGATGGCATCTGACATGAGTTCTGAATTGGGCACAAGCTTCCTCCTTTGCGACATCTCATGCGTTGCAATTTGACAGCTGAGGTACTTCATAACGTCTCTTGGCTGCACATGTCCTGCTTTTGCCAAGCGTTGCGGCGGTTGAGCTTTGACCCACCATGCTGCTGGGAGGACATACTCTGCACTTTTTTGAGCATGCGTTTGGTCTGCATTTGGCAGTAGCCATGAGACTGTGATCATGCAGGTCGGACGGTGTTTTGGCATGTCTGCTCCTATGCATTGTAAGCCTCCCTTGATTGTTGCTTTGGCATATCACTTTGCGCGCCGTGATGTTTGTTTCAGCACCATATGTTTGGTGGATTTAGCGACCTGTGTCTCAAGCCATTTGTTATTTGCCACCGCAAACTTGGAGTTTGTTAGCCGACAACATCGCGTCTGGTTTTCAAGGTCCGAAAAGCGACAGACAAGTTTTCTCCTGCTTCATTATTTGTCTTCGCGCTTGTGTTTCTTGCAGTTGTTGTGTGATTCCAAGTGGCTTTGCCCATTTCTGCGGTGGGGTTGGGTCTTGGACCAGCATTTTTGTTGGTCACCGTTGAAGAGCACCCGTGCCACCTTCAGCACTCTTCTCGCGCTTTGTGATGTCAACGACTCTTGTTCTTGTTTGTTTGTGAAATGCGGCGATGCTTCCTTTCATCCAAAAGGGTGGCAAGAGCTGATGCAGGTCACGCAAGGTAATGCTTGCAATGCTGGCAATGTTTACCATTCATTATGCCAGCAATGCTGGTAATGCTGAATTTGCTGGTGGTGCCAAGAACTGATGCAGGTAATGCTGGCAGTTCTAGCGATGTTTGCCTGATAGTGCCAGCAATGATGGTGATGCTGAACATGCTGGCGGTGCTGCCAAGAGCTGATGGGCAGTTCTGGCAATGTTTGCCTCTGATAGTGCCAGCAATGATGGTGATGCTGAACATGCTGGCGGTGCTGGCAAGAACTGATGCAGGTAATGCTGGCAATCCTGGCGATGTTTGCCTCTCATAGTGCCAGCAATGATGGTGATGCTGAACAGTGTTTGTCACTGGTAACATCAGCATATTGCTGAACATGCCGGCAGTGCTTGCACTGCAAGTAATGCTTGGAATGCTGGCGATGTTTGCCACTGTTAAAAAAGCTTGCAATGCAGGCGATTTTTGCCTGCATCACCACCAGCATCGCAAACGTCACCATCATCATCGTCATCATCAATCACCAGCATTACTAGCATCATCGTCATCACTCGCATTACTAGCATCACTTCCATTGAAGCCCAACATCAGATCATCAGACAACAAAGCATGCAGCTGCTAGTTTACCATTACAGGCTGGGCAAGATTGTCGGGGACAGATGTCAGGTACTCTTCTGCATCTTCACAGCTGTGCCTTGACAGAACTGGATGTTGCTTGGAGGCTTCTCAAATCCACGCGGCTCCGTGCGCATTTCTGCTGCAACTCTCTTGGCTGCCAACTCAGGCAAGCTTTGCTTGTGCGAGATCCGCAGAAGTCACATGTGCAAGGCGTGGTGTTGGATTCCACGAGCTTAGGATTTTTTGGATTTGGATGAAGCGATAGCCGTGCAAAACCCTGGGGAGGGGGATATGGCCAGGCCAAGCGTGGCAGCTTCGCTGCTGCAGACAAAGCACAATGACACCAAGGCAGAAAGAACTCATTGAAATGCTTGGGGATGCCAAAGTCTTGCTCGCAGGTGACGAAGTTGGACACTGAGCCCGAGCCCGAAGAGGCGGGATGTGTCGAATTGCTCACTTCACGAAGCCGCTCGTAGATTTGCACAGACTTGAGAACTCGAACATAGGGGCCTCCCCCATTTGGCGAGAGAGAGAGAAAGAGAGAGAGAGAGAGAGTTGCCGCTGAGCGGCAACCTACCCAAAATCCAAGTCAAACCTGCAACTCAACCCGAAACCCGAGGGTTGCTTTCCTCAAAGCACAGCCCAAACTACCACTGGTTTTCTTCTCGGAATACTCAGATAAGCACCCGCGGTTTTTGCTAAGAGCATCTTTTGCCTTCTGTGTGTAGTAAATTTAGTAAGTACACAATTTTCTAGACATTCCAAGTTCCAAAACCAGGCCAAAACACACATTTTCCCATTTTGATACCCAGATCAAACAACAATTCCCATAAGGAACCTCAAAGAACACAAGCCCAAAGAACCCCCCCAACAAAGACAAGAAACGAAAAGGCAACAAACAAAAACAATATGCTTTTGTTAGAACATCAAAAGAACAAAGAAACGACAACAGACAAAACCAGACAAAAACAGACAACACAGACAGAAAGAGACCAAACAACAAAAAAAGCAGGCAAAACAACAAGAACCTTAAACAACAAAGAGACGCCCAAAGTTTTGATTGAGAACTCTCCGGCCAGTTCGGGGGTGTCGTGTCCTCGGAGCTGGGTACCGACCTGCTGGGGGACGCTCTGGAACCCACAGCGCGGCTCGGAGTCGTCACGTTCGGAGGACACGGTTCCATACGGTTGCATTTATGTATATAGATATATATACATATATATATATATATACAGAGCAGAATTTCTCGTAACGATATCATACTATACTTACAGATATATATATATATATATATATGTATACATGCATACGGAGATGTGGATAGGTACATATTCTCAACACAATTCTCAATGGGTGTGCCTTTTTTTAGGGTACTCCACAAATTGTTTTCGGTGTTCCTGTTGGTTTCAGGTTTACCCCACCAAACAAGGGGTGCCCTCAAGGCAAGACAGACTGCAATATATACACAGATGTATAATATATATATAATACATATATATATATAATATAATACATACATATAATATATGTATATATGTATGATGATGATATTCTCATTGACTTGACTGTAGTTCGCAAGGCACCCCTCCGCTTCGCCCCGCCTTGCACCGTGGGCTTCCCACAAGGCTTGTCCGCCCGAGCCTATTGGCCGTGGCAGGTCCTGATAGATGCAATGGTGGTTCTTTCACAACATATATATATATATACATCTCATTTTTCTCATTTGCGGACTTCAAGAGGTTCTATAGCCTCGTGCCGAAACGCGTTGCAAGCCGTAAGGCCCGGACGGGGTCCTTACCTAGCCTGTCGATCTCCAACCTCTGTTTGTAAGGCTGAAGCAAAAGAAAGAAACTCATCATCCCCCGTGCTCCCAGAAAAGCCTTCGGCCTGGGGCAAACGATGGGATGTCGAATGCAACAAATTAAAATGAGCCGTGAAGGAGGCAGCAAAGGACTTGCAAAGTGGTCCAGGGTGTTCCTTGAAACAAGGTTCCAGGGTTACATCTCGAAGGCAGTCGGCAAGCATTGGGAGGTCCTTGGCAACAAGGAAAGCAGGTTCAAGCCTTTCTGAACCAGAAACTCCCAGCTTTAAGCAAAGCTTCACGTAGCCTGGAAGACTGAGCAACCACCGCACACAGGGCAGCTCCCACACTGAAGCTGCACAGCGGCGGGGCTTCAAGTCAAGGACAGCTGCGCAATTTGTCTGCGCCACGGCACCCAGAAACAACAGACAAACCCAAAGAACCCGGTTAGCCTCAAAAATCTGCCCATGACTCTGGATGTCAGCATGCGGGACTCCCCAAGGTGTTTGCTGCGTTCGAATTGGTGAGTTGAACGCCCTGCTACCTGCATTCCCAAACTTGCCAGACTTGGCAAGGGGCCAAGATTCCCATAGGGGTCGGCACAGCAACGCGTGCACTTTCCCGTGCTTCAAGTGCTGAATCCACAAGTCAATGTCAGAATCAGTGCACAGGTCGCAATGAGAGGTGTCACAACCAACATGCAAAGATACAACTAGAAGCTGGTAAGGCATGTGTGTGCAGGCAGCCCGCAACTCTGTCTCAAAATGGCTGTGCCGCCTGGCATTGGCGACAAGGTGCAGGGCAACAAAGGTACAGCTGCTTCCGAGGGGCTGCAGAAAAAGCATTGGCTTTTGCTTGCTACGCTCAACCAACGCATGTACATCGTATTTTTGTGCATATGTGCAATGTATGCAGTATCCGTGTGTATGTGTTTGGATGTGCACTTGAATTGTTCTCGAACACAGAAGGAAGACATGATGTTTCATGCTATTTGTCACGAGCCACGCCATCTGAGGAATGGCCATGGTGCTTTGCCAGGCGACGCAGCCCACGCCGAGGCCTGAAGCGAGTCCGGATTTCCCCCTCTTTAATTCTTTACATGGTTCTGGGTAAACCGTTTGACTACCAGCTTTGATTCCGACACATTCCTGTTTGCTCAACATGTCAAGTGGAAAGTGCGTGACAGCTATCAGCTAGCCTTGCCAAGTCGCAGGTGCATGCAGATGGATACGTGGTGGCCTGAGATGGCCTGAAGTGGCCTGAGATGGCCTGAGGTGGCCGAAGCATGGCTTGACATCCCGCTTGACTCGCATGGTCCGCGCTTGCTTTCCAGACACAACGCCCACGCCTTCCTCAATGAAGGGCCGTATATTGTTATGAAGTGGCAGCTGACACGTTGATTTGGTTTGAGCGGCGGGGAGGTGACTCCGCTTCACTCCCTCCTGCCCTCCAGTTTCTTCCTGTTGCCTCCCACACTCCTTCGATTGGCTTCCGATGGGCCAAGCAGGTCCGTTTCCCTGGGGAAGGCTTTTCCATACGGTGTTGAATGAGCCACTCAACATTTTTCTGGAACTTTGAGGATCCGGTCTCCCGATTCCGGACAAAGTTGTGACTTGCAGCTTCTAAGCTCACACCAATACAAACGCGGCACTCGTTGATCCTAGATAGTCAGAAGTCGTCGAATTCCAGGGATCCGCTCCCTGCCAAATATTTCGGACTACTCCCTCCGACTGACATCATCTGACAGAGGGTGCAGATAATGGATCTTCCAGAACCCTCCTTCACCTCAAGTGGTCGACTTCATCTTGGTTTCCATGCAACAAACCACCTTGCATTCCTTCCCAAGATAGTGGACCCCTTTTGCCTTTTGGGCCAAAGGGAACCCCGCCCAAAAGCATTTTGTTTGCTTCCCAAAAGGTGAACAACTTTTTTGAAAGAAGCGCTTGGGTCAAAGCTTGACGGTGTTTGTTTGCAGCTGGATGGCAATGTCCCTTCAAGCGGTCTTTTTTTCGGAGCCTTTGAGCCTACATGAAAGACTTGCGAGCTGGACGGGTCCATGTTAAAGCTCGGTGGAATCATCGAATCGAGGTGTTGCAAAATCAAACCCGGGTAGATCCTTCGGTTAGTGAAGAGCAGTCGCCACAGTTGCAGATATCTGCCTTCTTAATTCTTGAAGCCTGGTTCTGGGATGACCATTCTAACACCTGGACCTTCAAACTACTCTGAAAATTGGGGATTTCACCCATCATAGTTTGGGGGCTAGAACCAATTTTACATGGTTTTGGGATGACCGTTTTAACACCGGGTTTTGAGCGACCCAGGTGGTGCTTTTGATGTTCTTCGGGTGTCTGCTGCTGGGCGCCTGCCTCATGCTGTCCTTGGAGCGCCTGGCGCCCGCGGTGCCCTACACCGTGGCCATGTGCCCTCCGTGTTGGCCAAGGGACAGTCGTTGTGATTGTCATTCTGAGAATTTTAATGTTTACTTTCATGATTCGTCTTGCTTTATTGTTATGATTCTTGTTATTCTTATTGGTTTTGTTGTTATTACTATCATTAATCGTATTGCTATTATTATTATTATCATTATTATTATTGTTATTATTATTATTCTTATTATTATTATTTTATTATTATTATTATTATTATTATTATTATTATTATTAGTATTATTATTATTATTATTATTATTATTATTATTATTATTATTATTGTTATTATTATTAGTGTCGGGGATTGCAGTTTTGTTGTTTGCGGATGTGGTGGGTGCAAGAACATATTGGGTTGGAGAACAAACAAGCGCTACCATTTATTGGAAGCACCAGGGAAGGGCACTGACACCAACCACCAGTATCCCGAACCGGCAACTGCTCTTGAGCTTGCGGTAGGCCAAAGGCCTGCAATGCCAAACACATTATCCACTTCTTGTAGAAGAACACACAGCTCAGCATTTTTTCAGTTGGCCGAACCCCGCAAACAAACGCTTTCGGGAATCATCGACACGTCAATCGGGAGTGAATCGGGATGTGGGCCTTGGAGGTTCCTGTGCGGCGTGGTCTTCGCCTGCTGGCACTTTTCGCGCACCCCGGAGTCTCGGGTGAGCTGGCACACCTGGTTCCGATCCGTGCCCTTGGCTTGGCAAGCGCGAGCTCCTCTTTGGGGTTTTGGGGCTTTGGGGGGGAGGGGGTTTCTTGGTTGATGCGGGAAGCCTGGGCAGTGCGGTTTGAGAGTTTGAGGAGCTGATCTTGCATTCCACATGAAGGTGGCACCAAGCTTGCGCTTCAGGTGGAGAAGTGGGAGTCCATCAACCCACACCTCCTTTTCTACAGCTTCTTGCCCCCCTTGATCTTCAGCGAGGCTATGCAGAAGCAGACGTCAAGCCTGCGCCGTGTTGCAAGGACTCCCGTGAAATTGGGATGTGAGTTCAGGCAATGAAGCTGAACGTGCGGCTGGTGCAGAAGTGCTCAGCGCAGGCAGGGCTTTGGTCCGGTGACCAGCTTGCGCAGCGAGCCAATCTCGGTTTAGGTACTGTTGTGGCTCCTAGCTGTCCTAGCTTGATCAGCTTTCTCTGGCAACACTGCGCTTGCTGTGCATTCCTTACCCATGGCCAGAAGTAGGCTCACAAATGCTAGAGCACGGAACTGGCCTGCAGAGTTCAGCTCGGAGGCTAAACAGAGCCGTGAACGGAGAAAATTGCACATCTACACGCCCTTCACTGCCACTGCTCTATTGCCACTAGCCCTGGCAATGCAAAGAGGAAGGCCCTACAGCATGATGGCAAGCAAGGCGGTGTCAAATACGACGGCTTCCCCTGACTTCGTGGCAGGCTATCGGCAGCTTTCTCAGAACAAGCATGCCTGCTTTACTTTCAGGCGCTATCTCACTGCAAAACGCAGGTTAGCGCCAAGGAGCTGGAATGCTACACGAAAAGACTTTACTGCGAATGGCGCCCGCAAAGGCAAGTGAAGGGCAAACCTGTCAGAGAGTCTATTGCAAACCTGCCACCAGGCAATCAGCAAGCACTGGCACTCTTGTTTCTACTACCTTGTCGTTCTCTCGACTCAACTTCCTGATTCCCAGGCAAACTTCCAGACTTCTCGAATCAGCCTCCTGTTGTTTAGACTTGACTTTCCGTGTTCTCAACTTTCTTTTTCACGAATAACAAAAGCAATGTGAACCAAACAAGCAATTTATTCGAAAGCATTTCAACAACTGCGTAGCAAGCGACTAGAAACACAAACGCACACATGTACAGAACTCGCAGCTTTATTTCTATCTAAAATAAGTCTGGCCTTGGTTCTATTATGCTACACGTCAATCCGATTCTTTCATGTTGGATTCCGCACAGGTTTGGTGACCCCTATCTTTCAATCCTTCACCCCCCACCAAAGCCCTTCCTCGATATCCCAACAGTTCCCTTTTAGTTCCCCCAAACCCAGACGCATTTCATTCCGCGGATGAACGAACTCCATTTCGCACCACCTACACACGATGATTCCCTGCAAATACCAACAAACGCTACGGTTTCCCCTGGTTTCATTTCGAAACCCGCGCGGGTTTCGCGACAAATCCACAGGTCTTCCTGCTGGCGTGCCCGGGGGTGCTCATGGGCACCGGCCTGGTCGCGCTGGTGGCCAAGCCGGGCCGCCCCAGAGCGCTTTCCAAAACGACGATGCCGCGAGGGTGGCATTGCTGGTGCTCACTAGGGATTGATATAGGGTTTTGGGAATGTAGGGAATGACCCATGGTTTTAAGAATACAAGAAGTTATTCAGGGTTTTGGGAATGAACCGGAAGGGGATTCCCTTAAAGGAAAACAGAAGGGGTCATGGCCTCATATTTTGCTGAGAAGCAACAGGCATATCCCCATATCTTCAGTTCATTCGTGTATCACTGCGTCCTTGAACACTGGTGCTTGGCGTACTGAGCTGTATTCAAGTGCAGAGGGAAAAAAGTGGATCAACGCGGGATCATTTCCGTTGGAGGGTCTTAGTAAGAAATGAACATCTCCCCCAAAATGCAATGGAGAGAGAGGGAGACAGAGACATTGATGGCTTCAAGCAGGGCAAGAGAGAAAAAACTTGCTTCGGCTCTTGTCCCATAAGGTTCTTGCTGCCATACGACTGGTCCTGGCCAGTGTCCTTGACCTTCGGAGCAGCCTGGGCCCTAGCCGAAATTTTGGTTTGTCACTCCTCAACAGTTGGATGTCACTTTTGCGTGTCTTTCTCTGGAACCACTCGCCTCGCCTTCTTCCACTATCCTCCACAAACTCTCGTACACACAGACACACACACGAACATTGATAAGTAACTATATGGCTGTGAGTCAACGCCTGCTGTATTGGGCTTTTATGGGTACACCTTCGTTCAATACGGGTTCAACAGGTATTGAACAGGTTCGTTTCTTCCCACTTCCGAGCAGCTGTTGGAATTTGTACCCCGGCGGCTTGCCTACCGCTCGCACGCACTGGCGAGCAGAATTTGCACTGCACCGATCGTGCCGCGAGAACTTCAGTACAGGCGCTGAAGGCAATGTTGATGAGGCAACGCGAGCGATCCGTGCCGTCGGGCAGCGCTGACCTATGTCCGCTCAATACCTTGCAGTTGCCACGGTGGACACCGCCGCGACAACTGCTGCTACGCTGCCTCTACTGCTCTTTGACTACTACTACTACTACTACTACTACTACTACTACTACTACTACTACTACTACTACTACTACTACGACTACGACTACGACTACGACTACGACTACGACTACGACTACGACTACGACTACGACTACTACTCCTCGCGTCGGTAGATTGGCGCCAGCTTTTTGAGACACATGTTTTTGTTTTTTGCATGCGTTGCAGCTTCCGTTGAACACCTATTGAACAAGTCCCAGGGGTGCGTTCAGAAGCGGGATTTAGGCCCACACGACATGAAACGGAGTATCCTTGTTAATGACCAGAGCATTCGAGCAGTACCGCTGGAGAAGTTCCCTACACAAGTTGATTCACTGCCTAGGTGCTATCAGCCACCGACCCGGTGGCGGTGGTGGCCCTCTTTTCGACCCTCGGAGTGTCCCCGAAGCTGACCATGTTGCCTTGACTGCATGGGCCATTGGGAAAAAAGCAACAAACACATAGGGAAACCGTAGGGGAAAACAGCGTTAGCCACGGGGAAGCGACAAAGAGACGTAGCTGCCTAGACTACTGGGATTGATGCTGCGCCGTTCTAACCCGGTCACTCCGTGGAAACCAGATGGCTCTGGCTCAAGCCCAAGCCCTGAGTGGCAAGCACGCTTGCGATTCCGACGCATCTTGTACAGTTTCATAGCGATGAACGACCAGAGTCTGCGCCTTTTCATTGAGGACGGGGCACATGCGAGCTTGTGGCTGGTCTCACTGGGTTGGCTCATCTAAGAGCCATAAGCCCGCGTTTTTGCTTGGGCATCCTGCATCCATCCTGCATCAGTTTGTTGCTGTCTTCGCGGAAGCGTGCACCTTATGAACTGGCAGGAGCAGTTTGCAAAGCAAGCCACGCTCCTGCAGGACGCAGTTGTTTCATCACATGGTCGTATGGTCGGCAAGAGTGTGGCGCTCGCAGGGCAAATTTCAGCCGGTGCATGCCGGGAATATGTCCTGAAAGTATTCCACTGGGAGTGGGCATTCGGATTTGAATCCAAGGGTCGTTGCTGATGGCGTTTGCGATAAAGTCAATGTAAAGGGAAAGTGCTGAGGACGTCCACACGCTCCTGCAATCCACAGCCAAAAGTGTGTCGCAGCTAAAGCACCCGCAAGAGGACTGCGCTTTGTTGTCGTGAGCGAGCCACTTTGATGTAAGTCAAAGAGGCTAAGACACGGAGCAGGGAGAGCGCAATGTAGGACTTCGCAGATCCCTGGCACGAGGACAGGTTTGGACCAGAATTGCACGGCCAGCAGCCGGTTTTGAGCGAACTTAGCTGAGTCAACCGCTGCTGGTTTAAGTTCCGCCTGCCTGGATGTTCTTTATATAGGGTGCTCTGCACTCAGCGCAGGCTGAAGAAGATGACAAAGAGAATCAACCTCACATCTCCCACTCCTGGGAGACTTGGCACGAAGGCCAAGTGAACAAGGCGGTGGTGTGACTTCGCCGACTGCTGGAACTACGCTGTTTGCCAACCTTCATAGATCATCATCTGAAAGTATTGACCAACAACACTTTATTCTTTGCAGGGTCTCGTGCTGTCAACATTTGTAAGCAGACTTTTGCGCGCTGCGAGAGACTCCACACGTATAGTTCTTATTGGAGGACCCTTGAGAAGTCCATCAAACTGGAGTCAGGCCCTTTGCGGACATTCTGCGCTGATGAAAGCACGAGCTAGCTACAACTTCACACAGAAGCCAGCAGGATTTCTCCTTTCGCCGGTAGGCTGCAAACTTCAAATGCAGGTGGTTTAGTTGCTGAATTGCTTGGCTTTGCCCTTTCAGAGTCCCTGCCAGCCATGGCAGGGACATTGCTTTCCCACTGAGATTAACTCATACGAGAAACCTGCACTTTTGCTTGCACGAGACATGAGACTCAGGACTCCATCCTCGCCTCCCAGACTCTCACACCTCACAAGCAAAAGGCACAGCCGGAGTCAGCGCAATCTTGCCTCAAGTGTGAGCATCAAGAGCTTGTGTCGGACTGAACATGCCGCCTGTGGAGGCAATTGCAGCTCACAAAGATCTGGAGACTTTGCAGCTGGCAACAACTCAGTCCGAAGCCGAGTTGGACGAAAGGGATGCCCGGAGGCGTCTTGACATGCATGTTATGCCGATCTGAAGATCCTTGCGCTTTTCTGGTGGCTCAAAATTCAACAGGAGGGGCAAACCATCTTGAAGTCCAGGTTTCCACTTACCAGGGTTGCGTATTTTGCAATTCCGGCTTTTTGAGCCACACCCATTTCTTGCTCGCTCGCCAGCCTTGCCCGCCGCGTCGTGAAGTCCATGATCTTCTCCAACGGCATCCAGGCGCCGCAAGCCGCAAGTGGGGGGCGAGCTGCCGCTTGCGGCCCTATCGACGTGTACAGAAAACAGCTCAGCATGTTCCAAAGTGAGAGCGCAGTGCATCTGCATGGATTTGACTCTTGCAAGAGTTGTTGAGATGTCCAGCGTGTCCAGCGATGTCAGTTCTGGGAAAGTCAATGAAGCTAATGTTGGAAAAACCGGAAGACGTTCCCACTGCGTGCATCAACCCGGAAATCAACCTTGCTTGGAATTGGCTGTTCTCATTGATCTCTGATGGACTTTTCACCAAGATGTGCTGATGCACCACAGTGGCTTATTTGTGAACCGAATTCACGAAGGCGCCCATCGATTCCGGCTTGCCGGCCTTGATAAATGATGATATCTTTTGCCATCATCATTTAGATCTTCATCCTTCCACTGGAAACGCTTGGTTGGCATACTTTGTTCAAAGGCCCAAATTCTTGGGGCATCCATCCTTCAGCCGCCTTCCGGTTGAAGCCGGTGATATTCATCTCCTCCCCTTCCCTCCAGCTCCTGATCCTGGCGAACCTCATCCTGCTGGGCCTGGAGGTGGATCTCTCCGCACAGCTGCCCGCTGGAGAGAAGCTCCAGGCCTTTGAGGCCATCGTTTTTTTTTCTTTTTTTTTTTCTTCTTCATTTTATTTTTCATGGATGGGGTTGACACTGATCAGCGTGAATAGATAGGTCCAGGGACCGCTCATAGACCATTACCACGAGGTACCTGTTCCTCCGGGATAAGGTACCCTGGTTCCGGCCTTACTGCCCCCCCGCTTTCTTTTTGGTTGACAAGCCCGCCACCCCCGATTTTAAGACAAATATGGCTGAAAATAAAATAGGGACCTACCCACCCATTGACACCATTGATTTTTGTTTCCCCTGTCAGGTTCCATGTTAATGGACAGGTACCCAAACTGGAACCCTGGTAAATGGCATCGTGGACTACAACCTGGCCCCTGGGTTCCTTTGTAGTGGCTTTCCAATAGGATTTATGGATTAGGATTGGCCAACACTCCATTTTTGAATAGCCCACATTCCGTTCGGCCCCCAAATGACCATCATGCGGGAAATATAATCTCTTTATTGGTTTGATGAAATCCCACGTGACGATGGATCCAGTTTTTGTTTTTCAGGGAGTTTGCCTGAGGGCGTTTTCCCCATACAAAGAACCTTTTGATAAAATCCCACGTGCCGATGGATCCGGTTCTTGTGTTGGGAGTTTGCTGGATGGATTTCGATTGGCGCAGGTGGCGAACAACATCATCGTGGGACTTTTTGTCATGGAGGTTCTGTTGAAATGGCTGGCTTATGGCTGCCGCCTGATCGCATCCAAGCCTGGGGTCAGTGCTTGACACCTGCATGTGACTGCGCATCCATTTTTTCTGCGGATGTTTTGTGCAGTTCGGCAGTTCTGCAAGGGAAGCCGAGGCAGCGACTACTTCTGTGGCCGCGAGCGGCTTTGGAACCTCTTCGATTTGGTGATTGTGGGCATGTCAGTGCTCGAAACCATCATGGAGGTTTTGGCAAAGGCTCGCTTGGCTCGGATGGCTCGGACTGGGGTGAGAGGCAAACCCACTTGGCAATTTTAGTGATCTTGCTTGGGAATGTGTGGAGCAGCTGGCTCTACTGCATGGTTTAATTGGGGCACCAGTCGTCCCTTTGCAAACCTATGTATGTCAGTGGAATGGGGTTTGGTCGCTGAGGTATGTAAAGCTTAAGTTTAAATATGGGCTTTAAGGCGAACGCCGAAAAAGTCACCTTCCACGTCCACGTCTCCAGATGTTTCTCAGAATGGGGCTTCGACCCTTTTCGGGGTTCCAGGGGACCACTATTCCAAGACACCTCGTCAATAGTTGGAGCACGGTCAATCAGTTTTTAGGGGACTGGTTTGCAAATTTTTAGAGCTATTTCAGGATACCAAAGATGGGAAACGGACAAGATACGGCCCATTTCAGGAAATTGACTGCTTTTGACGATGCCGGTGATCTCTGCCGGACTATCGGAGACCAGACCCCTTTTGAGACATCCTCCATGTCCATTTAGGCATGACTTTGTGTTGAGAGTATCCCCTTTTTTGTAGCATGAACGGGAACCAAAAGGACACCCCTTCATTTGTTGGGGTCCGACTCCTACAAAGAAGGCACACCCAACACCCATACTGTGGATGGACGAACTCCTCACCGTTCAGAACCCTGGGCTCTGGTGCACATGTAAACTTTTTTATGGTGCAACCATGGCAACCAACTCCTGCACCACCGTTCAGTTCAGAACCCAATGGGTTCTGATGCGTTTCCCGTGAGTCATTTCGTGCGAGCAGATGTTCGCCTTTCCACCGGATTCGTTCCGTGAGGTGATCTCCGCGGGCGAGATGAACTCCAGCCACCTGCGGGTCATGCGCTTCGCACGCCTGGCGCGGGCCCTGCGGGGTGTGCGGGTGATCCGGCTGCTGCGATACGTCAGCTCCCTGCGGACCATCGTGCCACTGGGAAGGAAAAGGGGACATGCCGGAAGTGGACAGGGACTGGGATGTTTGTTTGTAGATTCTGGGTAATTGGGGTTGCACGGGGGTTGGAGACAAGGCGAGAAGCGGGGGGGGGGGGGTGGACACTTTTGGCGAACCCCAAGAGCAGAGATGTCGGCCGTGGAAGTTGAGAGGTCCTTGGAGAACATCAAGTTGCTACGACTCGTTTCTCCCCAGATAGCTTGAATTTATAAGGGTTCTAATTTCTCCTTCTTTTTTTTTATAAAGCGGGGAAAGTGATCTGCGAGATTGATGGCTATGCAGTTTGGGGTGTTTGGGGTGTTTGGGGTGCTGGTGCATGTGTTGTTTTGGGGTGCTGGCGGCGGTGCGGGCGCATTTTTACGAGATTGATGGGCAGGGTGGGGGCATGCAGTTTGGGGTGCTGGCGCAGGTGTGCAGTGTGGGTTCTGGTGCGGGTGCAGTTTTTCGCTATCTGGGGTCTATGCTGGTGTTTCTTTTCTTGATCACCATGGGTGTGCTGGACATTATGGTTCAACCCTGGTTTCCGAGCGCAAAAAAGAAGGCCCTTTGCGGCTCAACCGGAGTCCCTTATTTGACATCCACCCAT